TCTCGTTTTTTTGTAAAAAAAAAAAAGGCTTCGCTTCGATTTTTACGTTACACCTGATCCTAAAATTCGATTGGCCAACAGCTAGGGCGTTAACAATGCAGGGAGGTTAATGAAATTAAAGGGGTCGGACATGCTGTACGTACTACTTGATCTACATATTGTATAAATTCCATTCTTGATAATTATAAATAAATAAACTACTACCAGTATCAAAAAAAAGCTTACCCTAACGTACCTGGCTTTAACGTTTCCCTGTAAGGGATGTGAGTTTTTAGATTTATTGCACCGTCGTACATAATGTAAATGCTTTACCGTGAAAATGACCTTATGGAACATAGTAATTACTATGTCCCGTAAGGTCATTTCAAGCAAAATCCCAAATACGTATTAGGATATTAATATGTAAAAAATTAGTCAAACGTGTATTTAAAGAGGCTACTGAGGAATGATGATCTCTGCGGCAATACAGTAGATTATCAACTCCGTTCGTATTAAAATAATATCTGAAAAAATTTGCATTGCTATACAGAAATCTCGATTATTTTGCAAAAATTTGTTATTTATACTTCAGAAATTTAATCTTCATGATTATAAAACTCCTCTATAATCACTCTTTTATGGAACTACAGAGAGGTTTGACTGTATATGTCCTAAATACTTGTTTGATTGAAACAGATACTGTAGTATTAAATCATTTTAATGCTTTTATTTTTTTATGAACTTTTATAATAACATAAATTATCTATTACTGGAATATTTTAGCTAAAATAATTAGCATCCAACTCCATTGGAGAGAAAGTCAATGAGTTTAATCCATTGATATCCATTCAAATCTTTTATTGGGTTTATCTGATGTGATTGCATAATTTTTTTTAAATTTAAATCAACTTTAATTCGCGTGATTTATATCAACTTTATTCTGACAATTCAAATCTATAAAGACGTTCATTTAACGTTCATTTAAACCGCAAATACTGAAATACATAGATAATCAGAAATTCATAATTTCATTTCATAGCAATCTGGTTGTTAATAAATTTCAACGTAGAGATTCAAGTTTATACTATATAACGATTACTTTATTATGATCTTACTAAATTACAGTAAAAATTACACATGCAGATATAATTAATGCTAATAAAAATAGTAAAATAATGATACTATAAAAAATTACGCATGTAGATATAATTAATTCTAATAAAATTATTCTAAAAATATAATTCTGTTCTTTGTTTCCAAGACCATAAATAATATATTTTCTCAGTTCAATAAAATTGATTAATGCATCTACGTAATGACGTGTCCAAGTTCTTTTGCAGTTTTGAACTAAAGAATATTATCTATAACACTAATCAAGTTATGGTATTATAAATTGAATTTCATGTACTACTTTGTTCGATGATGGTAGAATAAGAGAGTTGTAGTAAATTTTGAAGCATATATATAACCATTTGGATAGGTGGTACCACCTGATAATTACAATATAAAAAAAGGATGTAAATAAAAGAACGAATATTTTTAATATTATCTTTAATTATTTTAACTTACATAAATTGATTGCTGGTGCTGCTCCGCCATTCCAATCTACAAGAATAACATGAGTAATGTCTTTAAATGCCCCTTGTCCTGAGGTATTCTGTTTATTTTTGATATAAATGTTAATCAGGAATCATTGAAGCACTTAAATAATAGAATTATGATAATTACTTCAACCAAAAGAATTTCATTATGATAATTTGCTGGATTAGATGCTGGTGAACTACCAAGAACAGTTACGTTCGCTACTGAAGTATCGCTTGGAATAGCTGATCTAAGAAGAATGTCATTGCCTATTTGGTATGAAATGAAGGAATTATGATTAAAATCCGAATGTCAATATACTTTAACGATCTTAGTTTTTGATCAAAATGATGCAATGCTGATTTAATTCTGTTCGAAATTATAATTTCGAACAGAATTTAGTTCGAAATATTAAAAAAAAAACATTATTTTAATTATTACATGCCTCTGAAATCTACATAAGCCACAGGTGAAAATGGGTAGTTGGCGAGATCTTCTTTGGTGTTAAAATAAATATTACGGAATACATCTAAATCACACAACATCCTAAGCAATAAATTCGTAATGTATCAAAATAAGTGGCAAAATATGTATATAGTACTTACCTTCTATCCATTGACCACTAGCAGTATCGCATATATAGTTGGCAAGTCCACCAGTATATAACACAAATTTAAAAAAAATTCCATTTGGAAGGGTGAAATTACTCGGGATAGTAACATCTTTTGGATACTCTTAATTTACAGTACCAAAGAATTTATAGTTAGTGTATAGTAATGAATATCAAATGGTATCAATGATCATCAATAAATAGGATTTACCAGGATTTCCGATTGATGAGTAAGAATTTACTGGGGCAGCTTGGGAGCAACTTATATTAAGCAAAAGAGCAATTAAGACCGAAAGCAAATCTAATTTAACCATCCTGGTAAGCTTCTTAATCAAATATAAGTTTGTATATCTATCTATATGAAATTATGAAAAAATTATAAAATGAATAATATTCAAGAAAAATATTAATAAAAAATTGTGGATTAATGAAAGATAATACGTAGCATTCGCTACCTACCTTTCAATAAGAGGACAAATATTTTACAGATCAAAAAATCCTTTAACAACATCGAAATCTATCGTTTATATATCTTAAACTTGATTGATGATGTTACGCCATTGAGATTAGGTGACATTTTTATCTTAATTCCCAACCTGTATTATTCTTTATTAAAAACATTTCAATTTCAAGAACCAATTATCGGTATATAGAAAGTTCCGTATTTCGGTCACTCTAAATTAGATATTTATCATTATACGGTGGGTGTAGGAATTCAATTACTCCTTATAGAGATAAAGCATGCATGTTTAAATTAAATATTCCTAAATTTCATTTACTTTAATAAATGTTTATTACACGCTTTATTATATTCCCTTTTTTTTTTGGTTATACCGTAACGGTAATGTCGATGTGCATTGTTTAGAAATTAATCTGTGCGGATACACATCCAGAAATAGCGGTTGATACAAATCGGGAAATTAACCACATACGTACATACGTGAAACTGATGATCATTAATTATTATTTCCAGTTTAAAAATTTCAAGGGAGTGCCGTTTATTACGTAATTTTTTTAGGGGAGGAGGATCACGTCTATGTACAGTAAGTATACATTTTTGGCTGCTGATTTATCACCAAGAAAGAAGGGTTTTTAATAAAAGAAATTAATAAACGACATCCTAAATTGTGTATTGCTATTTTTACAATTTATGCAGATGTTACATTTTTGGTATCCTGTAAGTCCTTGCTTCAATTTTTCTCTTATAAATTAAATTGCAAATAGTTATGTTTAAATCTATATTTATTGATTAAACCAATAATTGATTAGTTCACTAACTAATTCAATTTTTATATTCGATCCATTGAACGAGGAGATAAACCATATATATTATATTTTCTTCAATTTCATTTTATATTTGGGTAAATATAAAATCATTGATTTATTTATGAGTTGCTATTCAAGTTAAAGAATTTAGAATATTTACTATTATAACCCGTTAGTTATTAATAAATGTATTAGATCGTCAAGTTCATGATATTATTTTATATACGTATTAGTTTATTTAGGTTTATTGTATTCTCATTGGTTTAGTAGATAAGTAAAGGAATGACTATTATTCGAAATACTAAAATAAGCTATTAAAGCCTACAAATATTACTATTTTATGCTGCTAGAACTTTTATTGAATAACTACTTGAAGTCTACCAGTGGCAACATAATAGAATCTACATGTATTGTAACTAATACAATAAACAAAAGTTAATGTCTAATTTGTGAGTATCGCAAATAACATATTGCTCCGTTATTAAAATATATAATTGGATTTATTTTGCTTGTTAAATTTGAAACATTCAATTTCCACTTAGACCTAAAACTACAAAAACTATTCTGCATCTATCTACAATACTCACATCTACAAAAAATAAAAATATACAAGAATAGAACTGTATTAAAGAAAAATATATAAAATTAAATAATTTATGTTTATAACCTCTTAAAAATAAACTCTGGATACAATGAACATAAATTTTATAAATTTTAAATTTATGTAGAAGGCTATTAAAGAAGCTATAGCGAAAGTATAATCGTACCTTTTATAAACTTTGAAATTAAAAACTATGAAAATATGATAAGTTATTAAGAGAACATAGATCAATAATTAAACGCAAATAATTTACAAGGATAAAAAAGCGAAAGACTTACAGGATATCAAAATTTTTACTTCTGTATAAATTGTAAAAATAGCAATTCCACACATTTGTAATCGTGGAATTGCTAAAATTGAGGGAACGTTAAAGCCAGTATTAGGTAGGATTACCTTTTTGATGCAGATATGTGGTTTAAATATAAATATCAAGAATATAATTTATGCAACATGTAAATAAATATGTGAACGAATCTTATTCAGGCCTCACTAAATGCAACCCTAAATGCAATATCTTCCTTAGAATTTAGTCTGACTAACAATGCAGGGGAATTATTTTTCATATAAATTAATTCACAATTTTATAGATCTGGTACGTACGTACGTACGTTTACATATTGCATAAATTCCATTCTTGATAATATATATAAATACTGTAAATCTAATAACTGCATTAGAGTTTGGAACCGGTTTTATTTTCATATGTTAAACCCGGTTTTAATTGGTTAAAAATAAATCCGGTTCCAAACTCTAAACTGAATCAAAAAAAAAATTAACCATAGCATACCTGGGTTTAACGTTCCCCTGTAAGGAACGATTGTATTTTTTAAACTTATTGCACGTCGTACATAATATAATGGTTATGGTATTAATATGTAAAAAAAAATTGATAAACGTGTATTTAAGGAGGTTTCTGAGGGATGATGATTCTCTGCGACAATACAGTGAATTATCAACTCTGTTAGTGTTAAAATCAATTCTGAAAAGTTTGTGCATTATATTTATGTAAATTCTGCATTATTATATAGAAGTCTCGATTATTTTGCAGAAAATGATGGTTTATACTCCAGAAAATTTAATCTTTATAATTATCCGCTTCTTTATAAACACACTTTGTTATACCCGAAGGGTGTGACTATACAGCTATAGAGAGGTTTTCTGTATATGTCCTAAAAAAGACTTGTTTGTTTTGATAACAGATACTGTAGTATTAATTTTTATTTAATGAACTATTCTATTGACATTAATTATCTAATATAGTAATTTTTAGAATATTTAACTATGGTAATTAATATTTAACTATGGTAATTAATATTTAACTATGGTAATTAATATTTAACTATGGTAATTAATATTCAACTGTCTTATTTATTGATATCCATACAGATCATTTGTTGGTTTATATGGGAACTGACGACGTAATAATATAATTTTTGATTTAAATCAACTTTAATTCGCGCAGTTCATATAAACTTTAACGTGACAATTTCAAATTTATAAAGACTTTCTTTAACGTTCATTTAAATCATAAATACTGAAACACACAATTCATAATTTCATTTCATAGTAATCTGGTCGTTAAAATCTTTTTCAACGTAGAAATACAAGCTATATTATTCGTAACAATATTACACAGTATTATTTAACTCGACAATTATAAAAATTGCGAATGTATATATAATTAATGCTAATAAAAATGTAAAAATATAATATTTTTTTCTTTTTTCCAAGATCATAAATAAATATTTCTCTGTTCAATAAAATGGTATTTAATGCATCTATGTAATAACGTGTCCAAACTCTATTTCAGTTGTGAACAACTATAGTATTAACCAAGTTATATTATTATATATTGAATTTCATGTCTACTTTGTCCATGGTGGTAGAATAAGTGAGTTGCAGTAAATTTAATAGTCGGTCCCACCTAAATTGCAATATATAATAAAATGCTATAAATAAAAGAATGATATTTATTTATATGAATTGATGAAAAAAATTGTTAAAATGAATAGTATTCATAGAAAAAATATTGATAAAAATTTGGGTTAATAAAAGATAATACGTAGCACTTGCTTATCCTACCTTTCAATAAGAGGGCAAATATTTACAGGTCAGAGATTTCTTTAACAACCTCGAATATCTATGGTTTATACATTACAGCCCAAACCTGTGGGAGACATCTATCTTAATTTCCAATCCCTGTGTCATTCTTTATTAAACATCCAAACGTCAGGAACCAATTAGCGATAAGAAGTTTTCGTATTACGGTTGCTTTATCTTTGTACGGTGCGATGTAAGAAATTCTAAAACCACAATAATCCTTTATAGAGATAAAGCATGCATATTGAAATTAAATATTTCTAACATTAATAAAATGTTTATGTACACGCTTTTTTTGATGATAAGTTGGGAGATATTTGGCTTATACCGAATTTACTGTTCACCATGAACATTATTTACTATCAAATATACTGTTTAGAAAGTTTAGTAATGACTTCATGCATATGCATATCCCGAAATAGCTGTTGAGTGTCATTCATGTAATACTGCCAGACGCAGAGAAATTAAGTTTCACAATTGTGGAATTGATGAATAATTTTAGCGTTAGTAATTCCACAATTATGTCACAGGTGAGATTTGATGATCATTAATAAATTTAGTAATTCATATGGGCTGTTTTCATCTTCAGCAGCACAATTTTAATTACCACGTAGTATGATTCTACAATTTACACCGTTGTAAATTGTGGAATTGTTATTTTTACAATTTACACAGAAGTTACATTTTTGACATCCTGTAAGTGCTTTAATTTTTCTCTTATAAAATAAATTGAAATGATTTATTTTTAAGGCCTAGATATAATTGCAAGTTTAGATATAATTGCGAGTTGAGTAGGTATAATTGCAAGTTGAGTAGGTTTGAAGTGGTATTTAT